GAGCCACACAGACTCACTGCCGGTGAGACAACGGTATAGTTCTCGGGGTTAGGGCTCAGGCCCTTTGGCACAGGGCTGAGCAACACACAGTTTAGGGAGCTCAAGCCCTCGGGGGCAGGGGCTGAGCAACAGTACAACAGTATAGTGATTGGGATAGGGCCAGGGCTCTACACCCGAGCGGTGGGTGAGGGGGAAGCCTGCCACCCGTGCACGGGGTGGGGGGGGGGGGGGGGGACGCAGGCCCACCCACTCCACTGCGTCCCAGCCCAGGGCCCTGGCAGTGGCCACTGCCGCTGCTGGTCAGTGGGGTGTCCTGACCGAAACACACTGACATCGGCTCATACATGTCTACAGCCTGACCAGGGTCGGCTACCCCCAGGCTACTTCCAGGTTCGCCCTCAGGGCCTACCTCATCCGTGGCACTGGGCCCAGGCCAGTCCACCAGCATGGGTTCCTCTCGGCTGGGGCTTGGAGGCAGGTCTGGCAGCTCCTCGGGGAAGTCCGGCTAATTGGACTCAGGCGGCTCCTCGGGGTAACAGCAGGGGCTGAGGGGCTCTGGTGGCGTCTCGCCTTCGGGGTTGGGGTGGGGGAGTTCCAATGGCTCCTCCCAGTGACGGGAGCGGGCGGTCTCCGGTGGCTCCTCCTCGTAGTGGGCTCGGGGCAGCTCCAGCCAGTCAGGGCCCTGCCTCAGGCTGGGGCCTCACTGAGCTCTGGCGGCCAGCTTTTATACTTCCTGTCCCACCCCTTGACTTCCGGGGGGCGGGAACAGGCGGTGGTGGCTCCGCCCGCTTGGGTGTCTGTAAGGGCACTCCCTCTGCTGGGCAGGAGGGGAGCCACACCGACTCACTACATATCTGAAGACTTATCAGGTCCCCCCCAGTCTTTTTTTCAAGATTAAATATGCCTAGTTTTTAACCTTATCATTTTCGTTGCTCTCCTCTGGACTCTCCAAGTTGGTCATTGGTATCTCCTGGATGCCAAGCTAGCTAGAGAATAAAATGGGGAGGGAGGGAGCTTGGAAGGTTAGGGAAAAATACAATTACATTTGTAAAAACCCAGTCTCTAGTTTAAAATGGATCCGCTGTACAGTGAGGCCTGCAACATCATTTGGTTCAAGGCAGTGAAATGTTTCATTCTTTTGCAGGAATTCACTGATCATCTGGCTAAGACACACACCAGAGTTTCAGTGCAGAGAACCCAAGCAGCTGCTGTGGCAACTACTTAAATGTTTTTGTACAAAATAAAGTGATAAGTGAACAAGAGTTTGGTGGATTTTTAATCCATTGGAGGGGGGATGCAGATTCAGCTGACAATGTGGATTTCTGTGTTTAAGTGAAATCTCTGTTCATGAAAGATATGGGTACAGTGAAAGGTTCAGTTGAACATACGCTAAATGTGATACAGTAGCCAAAGTTACTTTTGACTAATCCTTAATTTGCTAAACATCTGAATGACTTTTAAAAAAATTGCTGCTTGAAAAAGTAAGTTTTTTCTGATTGACTTGCCCAAACAAATGAATTCAGAGACAGCAGCACTCACTTATTCAACAACTTACAATAACTGGTGGGACAGAGGAAACACTTTTTTCCTCAGAGAAAAGTGAATTAGGTTTGAATGATCAGCATGTAATAGGATTACTGAAACAAAAATCGTTAATGGTTAATTTTTAGGAAGACTGTTTTTAAAAAAAAATGGAAGCAGAGATCAAATGCAAGTAAAGCACTGAAGACTCCCACTTAAGTGATGCTGAAAGAAACCAGAACATCTTTGAGGTTATGTCTGAAAGAATACTGTTGTTGGGAGTTAGTGTAAAGATACCCACTACTCACTGATGTGGGCCCAGACTGAAGCTTCCTCACTACTAATGAAGGTCTGCTGCTCTAGAAATGAGATCAGATAAAACTTATTTGTTCTGCAGGATCTGGTGGTAGCTTTCATGAAAAGTCAGTCTAACAGACTGACTAATGTAGACCATACAAAAGTAGCTTGTAAGTACTTCAATTATTTTTAAAGACTATCAAGACCACAGGGCCCCACTTGGAAGGCAAACTAAGAATTTTCTGCCAGTCAAGGATGGGATAATTCTTCAATACAGTAGTAGTGATTCACAAGGCTAGTCACTAAAGCTGTCAAAAGCAACTTTATCTGAAGAGAACTGCAGTAATTACCTTCAAAGACTTGAAATAAAAATTGCATCCCCAGTTAGGACTTTCTCAAGGTAGAAAGAAATGTACTTTGATGCAATCAATGGCTGCGTTCCATACAGAGCATTATTACTAAAGGACAAATAATGCATTATCCAGTTAATGTTTAAGGGGGAAAATAAACTCCCAAGTCATCTGCTTGGGAGAAGTTAAAACCCTCACAACCAGTTAACATGCCTAAAGGTGCTCTGCTTTCAAGCATCAGGAGTTGCCTTTCTAAAAGAGACCAAGGGAAAAATCAAGCAGAGGTTTTTGGACTTAAATGTTTAAAATGACCTATTAATGTGAAAAATCCTTGATCCATTGACATAGTTGACCATGAAAGGGCTCCCTGAGTTATAATCTTCAACTCAAACAAAGTGAGAAAGGCCAAAAGCTGTGTAGAGTTGGACCTTGCGAGGGGAATTAAAACCAATAGCAAGAGGTTTTATAGCCATATAAATAGGAAGAAAATAAAGAAAGAAGTGGGATCGCTGAAGACTGTAGATGGAGTGGAGATTAAGGATAATCTAGGCATGGCACAATATCTAAACAAATATTTTGCATTGGTCTTTAATGAGGCTAATGAAGGGTTTAGGAATAGAGGCAGCGTGACAGAGGGGAATAAAGGAGGGGGGGTTGACATTACCGTATCTGAGGTAGACGCCAAACTCGAACAGCTTAACGGGACTAAATCAGGCAGACCGGATGATCTTCATCGGAGAGTATTAAAGGAACTGGTGTGAGAAATTGCAAACCCGTTAGCGATAATTTTTAATGAATCTGTAAACTCGGGGGTGGTACCGTTGGACTGGAGAATAGCTAATGTGGTTCCTATTTTCAAGAAGGGGAAAAAAAGTGACCCGGATAACTACAGGCCTGTTAGTTTAACATCTGTAATATGCAAGGTCTTGGAAAAAATTTTGAAGGAGAAAGTAGTTAAGGACCTTGAGGTCAATGGCAATTGGGACAAATTACAACATGGTTTTACGAAAGGCAGATCGTGCCAAACCAACCTGATCTCCTCCTTTGAGAAAGTAACAGATTTTTTAGATAAAGGAAATGCGGTGGATCTAATATACCTCAATTTCAGTAAAGCGTTTGATACGGTACCGCATGAGGAATTATTGGTTAAATTGGAAAAGATGGGGATCGATATGAAAATCCAGAGGTGGATAAAGAACTGGTTAAAGGGGAGACTGCAGCGGGTCGTACTGAAAGGTGAACTGTCAGGTTGGAGGGAGGTTACCAGTGGAGTTCCTCAAGGTTCGGTTTTGGGTCCGATTTTATTTAATCTATTTATTACTGACCTCGGAACCAAATGTAGAAGTAGGCTGATAAAGTTTGCGGATGACACAAAGTTGGGAGGTATTGCCAATTTGGAGAAGGATCGGGATATCCTGCAGGGAGACTTGGATGACCTTGTAAACTGGAGTAATAGTAATAGGATGAAATTTAATAGTGAGAAGTGTAAGGTGATGCATTTAGGGATGACTAACGAGAATTTTAGTTATAAGCTGGGGATGCATCAGTTGGAAGTAACGGAGGAGGAGAAGGACCTCAGAGTCCTGGTTGATCGCAGGATGACTGAGTCGGCAATGTGACGTGGCCGTGAAAAAAGCTAATGCGGTCTTGGGATGCATTAGGCGAGGTATTTCTAGTAGGGATAAGGAGGTGCTGCTTCTGTTATACAAGGCACTGGTGAGACCTCATTTGGAGTACTGTCTGCAATTCTGGTCTCCCATGTTTAAAAAGGATGAACTCAAACTAGAACGGGTCCAGAGAAGGGCTACTAGGATGATCCAAGGAATGGAAAACCTGTTGTATGAAAAGAGACTCGAGGAGCTCGGTTTGTTTACCCTAACCAAAAGAAGGCTGAGGGGGGATATGATTGCTCTCTCTAAATATATCAGAGGGATAAATACTAGGGAGGGAGAGGAATTATTTCAGCTCAGTACTAATGTGGACACGAGAACAAATGGATATAAACTGGCCGTCGGGAAGTTTAGGCTTGAAATTAGACAACGGTTTCTAACCGTCAGAGGGGTGAAGTTCTGGAACAGCCTTCCGAGGGAAACAGCAGGGGGCAAAAGACCGCTCTGGCTTGAAGATTAAGCTTGATAAGTGTATGGGGGGGATGGTTTGATGGGATAACGTGATTTTAGTCAATAGGTCAATAACGTGCCATCGCAGGTAATTAGTATCAATGGTCCATGCGGGTCTGGCTGGAGAATCTTGCCCACATGCTCGGGGTTCTGCTGATTGCCATATTTGGGGTCGGGAAGGAATTTTCCTCCAGGGTAGATTGGCAGAGGCCCTGGAGGTTTTTCACCTTCCTCCGCAGCATGGGGCAGGGGTCGCTTGCTGGAGGATTCTCTGCGACTTGAAGTCTTTAAATCATGATTTTGGGACTTCATCAGCTGAGTCAAGGGAGAGAATTATTCCAGGAGTGGGTGGGTCAGCTTTTGTGGCCTGCATCATGCGGGAGGTCAGACTAGATGATCATAATGGTCCCTTCTGACCTTAAAGTCTATGAGTCAATCTCAGATAATCTTAGTTCAAGCTTTCATGCCAAACCAAGGGAAATCTTCCTGCTTCGTTTATAAAGATGAACAATTTTGCTTGCAGTCTGCTGGCCAGAGCACTTTTTCTAGTAGTGTGCATGACTATGCTGATAAGGGAACACTGCTGTGTTCTGCAGTGCAAGGATGAGTACTGCCAATGTTTTTGCTTATATTTCTTTACAAAGTGGCATTGATAGTTCTAATACATTCATCTCTTAGCAAGGCTGACAGCATCATAAGCCCTAGAACCTAGTTATTTGGCAGAGATGTCCTCTGCAAATGCTTTATTGTACAGTTGAGTAATACAACTCATACAAGCCTCAGCATCCAGGTACATTGGAAGATTCACATACTACAATGAGAAGTAACACAGCTACCACTCTGAAACCTATCACAATACAGTATTCATACCTTAAACTTCAAATACTACGCATTGAGGATTTGAGCTTAGTCTTTTGCTTCTGCTTGTGCTTGTGCTTTTCTTTCTGCAATCATTCTGTGTTTCTGCTTCATTAAACATTTTCTAGCATTTCCATGGGCACCAAGATCAGCATCTAAAACAAGATGAGAAGAAATGCTGTGAAGTGTTCAATCAGGCCCTTTAGCTTGATGCCCCACTGAAGACTTTAACAAGGTTATAAATACCCCCCCTTCATTACAGTTCCATCCTCTGAACCGGGGTGGGCAAACTTTTTGGCCCAAGGGTGACATCTGGGTGGGGAAATTGCATGCTGGGCCATGAATGTAGGGCTGGGGCATGGTGTGCAAGAAGGTGCTCAGGACAAGGGGTGTGGGGTGCAGCAGGGGGCTCAGGGCATGGAGTTGGGGGGCAGGGTGCACGAGGGGGGCAGGCTCCAGCCCGGCGCCGCTTACCTGGAGCAGCTCCAGGATGGCAGTGGTGCACACTGGGGCCGGGGCAGGCTCCCTGTCTGCCCTGTCCTCGGCCCTGCACCACTCTGGGGAGGGGGGAAGAGGGCTCCACACACTGCTCTTGCCTGTAGGTACCTCCCCCAAAGCTCCAATTGGCTGGGAATGGAACAACGGCCAATGAGAGTTCCAGGGGAGGCACCCACAGGCAAGAGCAGCGTGAGGAGCCCTCTTCTTCCCCGCCGCAGGGACGTGGTGCCGGCTGCTTCCCGGAGCAGCACGGGGCCCGTGGCACCACAGGGGTGGCAATCCCACAGGCCGCCATAGTTTGCCCACCCCTGCTCTGAACAAAGCATAGCCACAGTTCCTTTCTGAGCACTTATCAAAGAGAGTTACTCTATGGCCCCTCTTTCAGGAGCGGAGGACACCAGTCTCCAAATCTTTAGGTTAGGTTTAGGATATTAGACATCCTCTCCTGCTCTCCCCCGCAAGTCATGCCACAGTCAAACCTGAACATTTTTCAAATAAATTAAGAGGCCTTAGATGGCCTTACTCACATCTATCTTGATAGGCTTGAGCAACCTGAGCAAACTGCTCTATCTCCTTTGCACAGTTCTGACTGAAGTTAGGTCCTTCCCTGGTCTGGCAAACTTCTACCCTTTCCAGAATTATCTTCACAATTTCCTGATCAACTTTCCTGTGTGTGTGTGAGAGAGAGAGAGAGAGATCAGTGTGACTGCAGCAGTGGCAATAACTTCCTGCAGCTGGAGAGTGTAATAAGTTACATTCTGGACAGAAGAGACCATTTTATTAGCTGCTTTAATATGGGATACAATTAAAAGGCACAACTAAGCAAAATCAAGCCGCAGGGGCTTGGCAGCAATGCCATATGTAGTGGCAACAGAGAAGGAGAATCAGTAGTGATTTTTGGGTTCTACTCAGAGCCCAACTCAGGCATGCTGCAGAAAAGATACTTGGAACTCTGTCAGGGATAGAGGAACACCAGCAGCTGCCCAGTATTTGAAATAAGCTTCTAAGGAAGCTTATTGGCTTTGCTACTAGCAGAAGAGAAGCTTCCTAAATTGGAGCAGGAGCTAGGGGAAAACTCAGTGTGGAGTATCTACAGTGACAAGCGATGATTGAATCAGGAACAGGCTTCTAAACTTTCATGGGGGGGGGGAATCTATTATGATTTTGCAGCTTCAAACCACATGAAAGCTGCATACCAATCCCAAGCAATCTACTGCAAGAAAAAAAAAAATACTGTGTTCTACTGGTTTTCTTCAACTGAATAAGGCTCCAAAATCATTACAGCTATGCTGTAGATATACATACATGTCCCTCCTCCACTGCGCCTCAGCTTCAAAGAAGCATACATAGTCATCCTCCAAGCACTCAGTCAGATCCGGCACACGGGTGAAATTCCGATGATAGTAATAAGATCTTCTCTTCGCATGTTGGCGTTCCATCCATTCTGCAAGAGTCAACCACCACATTCATGCATCTTCAAGGTACTAATCAAAGAGATGGACAGAACCAACTAAAACAACTACTGGGCAGGGAACAGTTCTTGTTTAGGATGGAAAGCATACAGGACACACGACACAAATGGTCTCCAGAACCTAACGTGTACTGGGTGACTTGGAAAATAAAAATGAAAGGAATTTTGCAATATGTATTTTGTTCTGCAACAAAATCTTGAGTTACTTTCTATACAGCCTATGTGCCACTGACTGGGCAGGAATGATTGATGATATCAGGTGCATGTCCACCTGCCCTCACTTTCCAGAACTAACTCTACAGAGAGAATGCCAAGCTGTAACCCTATGGAAATACAGTAAACGCTATACTAGGATGTCTAAGCTTCACAAAATCAGGCAAGTCACTTGCCCTCTGGGTTATTAGCCTGAGATTTTCTATCAGAGTTCAAAACTAACCAGGGAAGGGAGACCAGCGTTCCTCATGTTATCAGAAGTGATAAATGACTCTCCATCAAAAAGCGAGAAGGAATCAGTGCATACCCCGGGGGGGAGAGTCTCCAGAGAGCACATGGCACTGAAAGTAACCTGGTACCGGGCAGTTCCGCCAGACGGGAGTGGGACGCATCCCCGGAGCGCCAAGCCCCGTCCTGGGCAGATCATAAGGACGGCCATACTGGGTCAGATCAGTGATCCATCCAGCCCAGTGTCCTGTCTTCTGACAGGTGTCCATAAGCCACCGCACGTGGCTCTGAGGGAGCTCGGAGGGGACGGTCCCCCGTGACCCTCTGGCAGCAACAGGTCAGCTGGCTGTTCCCACAGCCTCTGCTCAGGCGCTGTCCGGCAGGGAGAGGTGCCCGGGGGGCTCCCTGAGGCGGCTGGGACCCAGACCCTGGCGTGCAGCCCGAAGCCCTGCCCCACAGCAGGTCAGGGGCGTGCCCCGGGGCTAGGCCTAGCTCCACGGGGATGGGCCGGGAGAGGGGAGGCCCTGCACCGACCCCCGCGCGGCTGCAGGGCGGAGCCGATCCACACAGCGGGGCAGGGCGCGGGTGCTGCCCGGGGGCCCGGCCCGCTACCTCGGAAGAAGGTGACCGGCGCGTCGACGGTGTAGTAAAAGAGGGTCTCGAGGATAGTGAGCGGGTTGGGCAGCGACGAGCGCTTCTCGGGGATGGGGGTGCGGCTCGGCGGGCTCTTGTACACCTCCGGGTCCCAGTCGTCCGGCATCGCGACACCGCAGCGGATTCTCCCTCACCGCCGGCCCGGACAAGATGGCGACCACCTACCAAAGCTGGCGGGGGGGGTCAGGTGCGGGCCAAGGTCAAAGGGGACGCATGCGCAACCCGGGTAGCGTCCTGCCGCGCGGCGCTTCGAGAGAGAGTCTCGTTTCCGGGGCAGAAAACGGCGGCCCGCCAATACGCATGCGCAGCGCCACGTATTCCCCCCGATGCCCCCTGGGATATGTAGTTCCGGTCGTTACAGCCTGATGCTCCGGACTCTCCGCGAGCCTGGGGGAGGGGTAAAGCGGAGAACGCCGCCTCTGGGGGCCGCGCCGGCGGCAGCCTCTGCCCGGGGAGGGGGGTCAGCATGTAGCACGCGGTATAGAGCCTGGCAAGTGGGGGGGGGG